AGGTACCATGACCCCACCTCCTTCCTCCACCTCCCCAGCCCCCACTGGGGCCCCTCCACCCTTCGGGCCAGTGCCACCACCGTGCACCTGCACCACCCTCCTTCTCCCCGCCACACCGTGTGCCTTCCTGGAAGCCAGAATTAGCCCCTTACAGTGGCAGCAGAGCCAGACAGCCCTGTACCTAACCCTCTCAAGCCCAAAAGCAACCCGCCTCCTTTCTGCTCTTCTCCAAACACCAAGTTCCTTTCACTGTGGGACTCTGCTCATTCCTCCTGGCTGCTCCCCTCCACATTCTCCCATGGCTGTCTTCTTCCTGGCATCTGCACTTCAGCTGAAACAACACTTTCGCAGAGGTCTTCCCACATTCTGCCCTTCTTGGGCTTTACCTCTGAGCCAAGCACCACTACCAGAAACTTGCCAGCCCATCCCCTGGTTTATTTATTCACCACCTCCCTCCCAGGAAGGCCCTAATAGCAGGGCCTATTTTGTTATGGCTGCGAACCCAGAGCCTAGCAGAGCACCAGGTTATAGCAGGTGCTCAGTAAACATGAAATGAGGAGGGTGCAGAGGTCTGGATTCTGTTCTCAGTGTGCTGTGTGACCTTGGACAGGTCACTTTTTGTCTCTGGGCTTCAATATTCCAAATATAAATGAAATGGATTAAAGGCCTCTCAAGGGTTCCTTGGCTCGGTCAATGGTCAATGGTTATGCATCTTCTGCCTTCAAGGCTGGATGGGCTGGCCTGGGTTCTCAGGTGCATACACAGGACCTGCCTGAGTGGCTAAAGGGAGAGAGCCCTGACTCTGGTGACATCCTGGTGCTAGTTTGTACATTTTTTGTATGTACTGAGCACTTAGCCTAGCCCAGATCTTAAGGCACATCCTGGGAGTGCAAAGGAGAAGCCTTCTGATATTCTAATGGGACAAAGAAGCTGTGAAAACTGGCCTGCTTTGAGCTGGGCTGGCAGACAGCTCTGTACAGGGGCGCCTCCTCTGCAAGCAAACAGCACCCATGAAACAAGAATCCCCACAGCTCACATCCACTGGGCGCTTCCTCTGAACCAGAGCTGTCCTCAGGCTTTTATAACAGTGCACACCTGGTGAAGGAGCGCTATGAGGAACCTCATGAGGAAACTGAGGCACAGAGGAGGAAAGTGGCTCACCTGAGGTCACACAGTGATCTGGGTAAGGCAGGCTAAGACAGGACAAAGGGAAGAAGTCACCTTCCCTGGACTGTCATGAAGGCAAAGTCCAGTCGTGCCCAGGCCCAATCTCACAGGAGCTGCTTGGCACCCTGCCTTTCAGGGCCAGCAGCGCTGTCCTGCTTGGCACAACTCAAGCCTCCAGGACCTCTGCCCTCAGGCTGGAGAAGCAGAGGGCCTTGGATAGCTCCAGTGCGGGTGGGGCAGCAAGGCCAGCACAAAGGGAGGCCACCCGACCCCAGTGGCCCTAAGAGCCTTAGCTGTGAGGGGCGAGCAAGGCGGCAGGGCTCTGAGAGCCAGTGCTCTATGAAGGTACTGAGAGACAGGCGAGCCAGAGGAAAGGGAAAGAAGCACGGGCAGACCTTCCTCTTGCTGCGGGCCAGTCAGGGAGAGGCTGTGAGGGGCAGAAGGACACCCTTGGACATGTAGATGACATGGTCTGCCAAATAGGCTGGCACCAACTTCTGCCTTTGGTACAAGCCACCACCTGGCATCCTGTCCAGAGAGAAGGCAGGGAAGCCGGGCGGGTGCTGGAGGTGAGTGGTGTGTGGCCCACCCCTGTTCCCAGACCCCTGCTGGGTCCGCAGGAGTCCCACTCCCCTCAGCCCACTGAAGCCTCGCCTCCCCACCTTGCCACGCCCCGCAGCTCCCAGAGCTTGGAACTTTTGATGTTTACTTTGTTCTTCCCAGAGTTCAAAAGGCGCTCACAGCCCCAACCCTGCACCAAGCCTGCCTTAATCTCCCCTCGCTGGCTGGAGCTCCCAGCTGGCCAGTTAAGGCAGCTGGGGGTGCGGGGGATGGATGGATATGGATTAGGGCTGGCTTTACATAACAACGCAGGAGCTAGAGCCACCCTCTCCTGGGGTGGCTAAAAGACTTCTTTTTATCTCCGTGCCTCAGATGGCCTTTTTTCTCCCTTTAAACAGCTCTCCAGCCCGCCAAGAGGCAATGAACTTGGCCAACAGGAAGACAAAGAAGACATTCAGGATTTAGCTTGTTCTCCCTTGGCCAACAGCACAGAGGGACACCCGCAGCCACAGGTCCTGGGCAGGACGGTTCTGTGTGGCCAGGACAGGGCAGCATCTGCTCTCACCAGCCCCAGCTGCACAGTGTCCTAACATTCACAACTACATCCCAGTCCCAGCATGGATGGCCTTGGGCCACCACACTAAAGGAGGCCAGAGAACCATGGGCAATCCCTGGGACTAGGGTCCATCCAAAGAGTCTCAGGGACCAAGTGGCTGGACGGGTCCAGGTGCCCACCTGGCTCAAACCAAAGCAGCCTCTCTGTTACTGCTTTGTCTCCACATTTCAATCCTGTCATTAGTTTTTCATTTCATGCATACAGGGCTACATTCTTATAAAAGTTAAAATATTCATTACAGTCATACTGCAGCCTGCTTTAACAACCATATAGATTTTAGTTCCCTCCTGTGACCACAAGTTGCTACTGTTATTATCTTCTTGGCCTCTGTCCATATATTAATACACATACGTGGTGCCCCGTGAAAATCCAGGATTGTCTGGTGCCTTCGGTTTTATATAATGACTTCATGCTGTACGCATCTCCCTGAAATCTGTTTTAACTATTTTACATTTCATGCTTCTGTGCAAGCTTTTGTTTCAAGAGACGCTAAAAAGCTTGACTACCAACAACCTAGCCCAAACTCTAATCAGGAAACTGAGGCAGGCCGGTGGCACAAAACTCCTTCACTGGAAGAGGCAACACCATGCCTGGGTACCAATAGGGGTTAGGAAGGCACTCAGGTTGCCACCAAAGCCCAACATGCAGCTGATGGAGCTCTGGGTCAGGCCAAGGGCCGCCAACCTCACACCCTTTGCCGACAGGAGCTGGGACCCTCAGGCACCTTGTATTTATCTCTACCCACTAACCAATGTTTGTAAATGCTGCCCCAAAGCAGTCAGTGCTTCCTAAGAGATGTTTTCATCCCCTGAGTATCCACTGACTCTGGCTATATTTCACCTGACCCATCCTGTAATAGGGGGAGGGTGAAGGACCTGCCCAAGATGTCACAGAAGATTGCTGTCTGAACTGAGAAGGAGCCAGGTCCACAGCTTTTATCATGGCTATTTACTGGCGAAGACATCTCGCTTGAAATTAATTGCATGACTTCAGACTAAGCCTCTATGGACAGAAAAGTCCTCAGGTGTTGGCTTTATCCAGGGACCCAACAAACACTGGACAGATAGAAAGACAAACGGAGAGAACCAAGCACAGTGGAGGCGAACCTATGGCACACCTGCCACAGGGGGCACGGACAGCTCTCTTCATCAGCACGCGAGCCAAGTCGCCCCAGCAGCTGAGCAGCCGATAAATTGTTGTTTCTAAACAAAAACCTCAGTATTCAGGTTTCATTGCAGTGTTAGCACTTTGTGATAAATAAGTGGGTTTTAGGTTGCAATTTGGGCACTCGGTCTCTGAAAGGTTCGAAATCACTGTCCTAGAATGGTAAGTGGGAACTGATTAAATGGATGGAGGAAGGGGATGAGTGGGGTAGATGCTGAACAGATGAGTGAGGACAGAGGTGGAGGGTGGACTGGTCTAGCTGGTTGAGAGATAAGTGACAGAAGAGGGGACAAATGAATGCAAGCGTTAGCTGAGTGGGCCCTGGATTAGGGGGTGGGTGGATGGATAGTCAAGGGGCATCAGATATAGGTAGGAGACAAGAGAACAAACTTGGTATGTTACCACACGAATGAGCAAATTCATAGATAAGTGGAATGAGTGCTGAAGGCCCTATAATCGGAGTCTGGGGTCCGCTTAATCCTCACAGCCTAAATGCTACAACATGCCGACTCCCAGCATGTCTCCAGGGAAAGAGAAAGATGACAGCTAAGGCTTGGGAGCCCATGGACGGTGAGGTTCAAAACCCTTCAACCTACAACCTACAAGAGGCCAGGGCCATAGGCAGACACACTCAACAGCAGCTGGGTCCCCACCATCCCTCCAGTTTGGGGGCAGCAGAGTGATGGATCTCTTCCCACAAAGCACCTTCAGGTGTGACTTACATACAAGTCACCTGGGCGCTTATTACCATGCACTTGGGATTCAGTAACCCTGCGGCGGAGCCACAAGGCCACAACCCTCAGGTAGCCCAGGTGCCCTTGGACAGCGACCTGGCCTCTCTGCTCAAGGCCCCCAGGATCCCCAGCCCAAATGCCTTAAGGACCCTTGCACCCTGGCCCCTGGCTGGACCCGAGGCTCTGCTGCCATCTGCGTCCCCTTACCCTCCCAGCACAACCGTGCTTCTCTTCTGCAATTCCAAATAAAGAACAGGGTGCCACTACCCTCCTCAAACACACCTGAGCCAAGCTCATGGCCACGCAGGCCTTGTTCCTATTCTACCAGGTGAGGACTGAGGCCTAGAAGGAGAGGAGGCATGCCCAAAGTCACATCAGTGCACCAGTGGCCAGGGCTCCACATGACAGGTGAGGGCTACTTGTGTGGAAGAGAATGAGACTGGAGGGGAGCAGGGGTGTGCGCCTGGATGCATGTGTATGCACATGCGCTAGGCACCAGGAGCGATAAGGCTGGAGAACTGGGGGAACAGCCGTAGTGTTACTATTATAACCCTGGCGGCAGCCACGCTGACTCCGAGGTCCCACCGCTGACAGGCTCGGGCTAGGCTGTGACCCTAGGAAAAGCCGCACTCCCTCCTGCTCCACTGCCCATTCCACTGTGAGGGCTGCAGACCTTCTGGGACCCCTAGGGCACACAGGCAGCCAGATGCCCTTCCCCACCCCACTGAAGGGGAAATGGAGCCAAGGATTCCAAGTACCTTCTAGCCGGAAGTCCTCTTCCTCCTCCTCACTTGGCCCTTCTCTGAAAACCTCGCCCACGAGCTCCTGGGAAGACAAAGCAGGGTCATTACAGAAGAGTGGGGACAGGCAGGAGCCCACACGGATGTGAGAGGTGGTGGTGGGGACCTGTTCTGAGTCTTCTAACGGGAACCAGGTCAGGGAGGAGGGCCCTGTGCCCAGGATTAGTTCACTATGGATGATTTCCAGGAAGCAGTGTTTTTGAAGCCTGCAGCCCACTCTGAAATTCCACCCAGAACTGCGCTTCTCCCTCTGAAAGGACCACCCCCACAACCAGGATTGCCAGACAAGATCTATCTCATTGAGCCAACCCAATTGTGCAGGACCAGCAAGCCTCCCCAGTAGGCCCCAAGAAGACCCTTAGTCTGGATCATTATTCCTCCACCAGGGTCCTGGTAGGTTGCCCGGCAGGGCTGTCAGATGCCTATGGGGTCTGGTTTGTTGTACAGTGGCCCCACTGCCTTCCTCCAGACCCTAAGGCCTCCACAAGCATCTCAGACCCTGTAGGCTCCGGTTGCCACTGGTCCACTGTCCTGCTCCATGTCTGCTGGCCCACACACCTTCCTGTTACTAGCCTGCCCCTTGCAGGCCTTGCCTGCTCCCACTGTGAGCTGAAGATATCCCGTATTGCACCAGCACCACAGGGCTCCTATTGCCAGCCTGAAAGATGCCACTTTGGTGTCAGGTTGGCCACGGGCATTTCAGTGTGCCACAGGCTGGGAAATGTGGAGGATGTTAACAGACTAAGGCTACATCCACCTGACCCACTCCAGTACCTACGGAAGAAGCTACCCCAGGACCTGTCAGATGAGCTTCTGTATTATTATTCGTTTTCTGCCAAGACGATTTCTGTGATCAAAGTAGATTGCTTAAGCAAAAGTTAAAGTGCCTCACTGTAGGACTTATCAGGGCCTTTGCAATGCTTATAAACACAATCTCCATGTGCTGGTGTTTATCACATTCTCCAGACCTATACAGACGATGCTTTTGTTTTTCCAAAAGCATCACACGAGATTCACGTTCCAAGGTATCCACTTTAGGAAATACTCCTCTCTTGGGGACAGATAAGGCTTCAGGGGCTGTACCACCTCATCTGAGCACACACAGATGCTACAATGGTGTTCCCAGAGCACCCCAGATGACAGGCAGTAGAAAGCCCCAATACAGCAGCTGTCACCATCTTCTCTTTGTGAAAAGAAAAAAGAAAAAGAAGAAAACAGCCTCTCCTTGAAAGAAAAGAATTCCTGCACCTCAGATGCTTAAAGCAAAACCAGGCGTGTCTTGCTGACCACAGAGCCCGTGCAGGGCATGGCTGATGGCGCCGCTGGCCACGGCTGGAAGACAGCTGCCTGTCTCCTCCTTTTCTGTTGTAAAGACCAGCAGCTCACCTTCTGTGGATAACTGGCCTGTGCTATTCTTTCTTCTTTCCAGTCCTTCTAGAGCATCACAGTCTTTCTTAGAGGTGGGTAAAATGTGGCCATCCAGCTCCCCGTGTCCCATTTATTTCAAACCAGGCTTCTCTCTCCTCCGCCGATTTCTCTAATCACTGAACATTTCCTGGGCTTGTAAACTGGCTGTTTGTGTTAACCGAGTTGGAGTTGACAGGGGAGCTGGGAGACTCTGACAGGAAAAAGACGCACACAGGTGGCATCCTCAGATGCTGATACGCCCCAGCAGCCAATTAAAGCCAGTCGTTCATGACAGAGAAAGGCAGAAGGCAGCTGGAGCCCCCTGGGAGGCTGGCAGGTATGCATCCTGCAGAGGAGCCACAGCTTCAGGGGATTCACAAACCCTTCACAGTGAGGGCCTCTGCCCAGAGGGGAGCACTGACCTCAGCACCACCCTGATTGCAGTCGGCAAGGCCACCAGCACCCCAAGCCTTCTGAGTCCTGGGTTTTTTTTGCTGGCACATTTGGAGGGACTCTAAAACTCCAAATGTTACCCCAACAAGACAGCCAAGGGGCTAAGCATGGTGGCACACACCTACAATCCAGCACTTAGGAGGCAGGGGCAGGAAGACTGCCTTGAGTTCAAGGCCAGTCTGGGCCACATAGTGAGTTCAAGGCCAACCTGGACTAGAGAGAGACCTTGTCTTAAAATAATAATAAAAAAAAGACAGACAGTCAAGCAGCCCCTGTGCTGCCACCCACATGCGCGCCACACACGCACCATCATCACTATGGTGATGGCTCTGGTGACAGTTCTGGGGTCAGCCTCTTCCTGCGAACTACCCTGCTGTCACACACCGTGAGCGCTCCTGGCACCAGGGCCTGCTGATGTACATGCTCAAGTACAGCAGAGTCATCTACGCTGAGCTGCACGGCCCTGGGTCTGTGGTGAAGATTTGGGTCACTCGACCCAAGGGCAAAATGGGACTGGACCTGACGTGGGATCATGTCCTGGCCTAGCAGCAACCACAAATCAGAAGCCAAGTGCATGTCTGTTCACGAAACTCAGAGCCCCACCACTCAGAGCTCCACATGGTGTGAGAACCTGGCTCTAACTGGGAGCCTGCAGAGTAGGTTAGGAGCCAGGCCCTCAGCATCCGTCACCCTGCAGGACAGCAGGTGCTCTGACCTGGGTACCCTCAGAACCAGGAGCCCATAGGACCAAGGGCAGGGGCCCTGGAACCTGGCAGGCAGACTTCCAGGCAGATCCTACTCTCTCCAAGCAAGGTGCATGGGGAGGAACTTCACCTCCAGGCACCTCAGCTGCCCATTTACAAACAGAGCCAAGCACATGTGCTGTCAGGGGTGGCTGTCAGGATTAAGGGAGCCACTACACGGCACATACTCAACCTCGCACCCATCCCATGAGGGCTCAGCAGCTCAGTAGTTCCTGGCTTCTTCTGCATTATTATCAAATGGCTACAGAACATGTCTGGGCCAAGTGGACAGACTGCCCTCGAAGATACCTTGAAACTTACTCTCAGACTCATCAGCACACTGTTTTTAGCACTTTGTGTTTAATTCTTACAGTAATCACTTTGTCACTGTCATTATTATGCCCACTTTAGAGATGAGAAAACTGAGGCACAGACAGGTTAAGAGACCTACCCAAGGGTACACAGCTAGTGTAGCCAGTACCAGAGATTGCACCCTTTCACCACTGCACTTACTTATAAAAAGCCTACGGATAAGGACTGACATGCAGTGAGTACCCTTTATTGCTTCTCTTCTCTACTCAGCTGTTACTGTGGCCCAAGGTCCCAGGCTTTCTCCAGGACTATCAGCCATGCTGTGCTATGCTCCAAGTTCTGGCTAGAGACTTCCCTAGATTCCCAGAGTCCCTGCCCAGGGACCTAGCTTGGTGGCTTCTCAGGTCACACGGTCATAATCTGCCTCCCTTCCGAGTCTCAGCACTGCCCTTCTGCTGGCCTGGAACCCAATTTCCTGTGCTGGATCCCTGGAGGAGAGGTTAGCTCCTCTCGGCACTGGGTTTGTGAGCCCAGGACTGTAAGACACAATGCCTTATAAGGCTGCAGGCCGGAAAACCACATCAAAGCAGGCCTTGGGGCATGGGCCAGCGCCTGGCTAGGGTTTTCCTCTTTGTCTTTGAATCGTCACACTCCTAAACTCAGTATCTTCTCATCCCACTGCCCCAGCAGGTCTCTGTCAATCTTCTGTTCCCTAAGAGCTAACAGATGTCGGTACCATGGGGTTTCAAAGCAAACTCCTGGTACCCACGGAACACGGCATAACTTCCAGATTCCAAAAATGCATGGGGCCGGGATACTCTGGGAAGAGAAAGGCTGCTTAGAACTCAGGCTGCCCAGTACCCCTTAGATCAAGCAGCTGCCCTGAGCCTGCCCCAGGAGATACCAGGAACGGTCTTCCCAGCACACTGTGTAGATGCTGCCCGGCTGGGGCCTTGCTCAGAGCAAGCTCTTGCCTTCCTTCTGTCCCCTCACGTGGAGGGAGGACAAGGCTTCTCCATTCCCAGCACCTGCATGGACTGGCTGCAGGCCTCACAACCTTTGGCAGCAAACATATTATTTAACTTCTCTGGCCCCTATTTTCCTTTTCTGTAAAATAGGAATTGAGATGTCAAAGAAGGCTCAAGATGTGGACAAAATGCCCAGGATGGCATATGGGACAGCTAGGGAGCAATAAACACTGACTTCTATCCTCCTTCTGTAGGGTTCAACTCTGACACATGCGCAGGAACATCCTCACAGTTCACCCTCATAATCACCAAGTGCCCAGCAGCTGACCCTCTCAGTGAATGCCCTGGGATTGTCCTCACGTACATCCTATCAGGAGGTACGTTCAAGGTCAGTGATGGCTAGGGCCACACAATTCCTATTAGCCAATAATCAGAGCAGGCCTGGAGGCCATCAGAGGACACTGCATGAGCCCTCCCTGGTGGAACACCTCACAGTGGTTCCCATGAACTAGACAGACCTGTCTGTCCTGCCGTGCAGTACGTCACGTCACAGGATGAGCAAGACACCAGGTGCAGAATGTGATGCTGCCTGCCCACCTAGGAAACGCTGCACACACGGCGACAGTGAGGCCACTGCATGTATGCAAACGTGTAGAAGCCTCCTGGGAAGGGAAGGAGAACAGAGAAGCAGAGGGCAAGGTGGAGGGTTTGGAACGTCGGGTTTATCAGAACTGCTGTAATTTGGAACAGATACGTACAGTTGCTCCTGGGTGTCCTTGGGGGATTGCTTCCAGACCCCCTGTACATACCAAAATCAACACATGCTCCAGTCCCTTAATATACAGAGGCATACTATTTGCATAGAACCTAAGCACATGTCCTGCAGGATTTAAGTCATATCTAGATTGCTTATAATACCACATACAATGTAACTCCTAAGTGAATGGCTGCTATACCACATTGTTTATGGAATGATAACAAGAAAAAGTCTGCATGTGTTCATTAATACTGTTTTGTTTTCCCAAATATGTTCCTCTGCAGTTAGTTGATCTATAGAGGAAGAGTCCACAGACACAGAGCCAACTGTACATTCATTCACCTGTCATTTAGGCAATTAAATCCCAAATTAACCAATCCCCACT